TGAAACAGCAACGCTTGGCGGTGTTGCTTCTTGTCATGTGAAAGAACAAAGCCTCCGAGACAAAAAACGTGCTTTATCAATTTTAGCAGCTGGGGCAGAGGGGTTTTTGACAGTATTGTGGTGTGCTGGCAATTTGAAAGAGCTGTGTCTGCTGGTGTTGATTCTTGTCATCCTAAATCTGAAAGAGCAAAGCCCTCCAGATCAAAAGAACGTGTTGTATCAACTCTTGCAGTTGGGGAAGAACAGTTTTGACAGTTTTGTGGCATGTTGGCTGAATTTTGAAAGCACAATACCTGCTAGTGCTTCTTGTCGTCCCAGACCTGAAGGAACAAAGCGTTGAAGGATCCCAAAAAGCATGCTGTATTCAATTTTCAGCTGGGTCAGAGCGGCTCTGCTAGTGTTGTGGCATGCTGACAGAATTTTGAAACAGCAACGCCTGGCGGTGTTGCTTCTTGTCATCCAAAACCTGAAAAAACAAAGCCTCCGAGACCAAAAAAAAACGTGCTTTATCAATTTTAGTAACAGTTGGGGCAGAGGGGTTTTGACAGTATTGTGGTATGCTGGCAGTTTTGAGAGAGCTGTGTCTGCTGGTGTTGCTTCTTGTCATCCTAAACCTGAAAGAGCAAAGCCCTCCAGATCAAAAGAACGTGTTGTATCAACTTTTGCAGTTGGGGAAGAACAGTTTTGACAGTTTTGCGGCATGTTGGCTGAATTTTGAAAGCACAATACCTGCTAGTGCTTCTTGTCGTCCTAGACCTGAAGGAACAAAGCGTTGAAGGATCCCAAAAAGCATGCGGTATTCAATTTTTCAGTTGGGTCAGAGCGGCTCTGCTAGTGTTGTGGTATGCTGCCAGAATTTTGAAACAGCAACGCCTGGCGGTGTTGCTTCTTGTCATCCAAAACCTGAAAGAACAAAGCCTCCGAAATAACAAAAACGTGCTTTATCAAGTTTAGCAGTTGGGGCAGAGGGTTTTGACAGTATTGTGGTATGCTGGCTAATTTTGAAGAGCAGTGTGAGCTGGTGTTGCTTTTCGTTATTCTAAACCTGAAAGAGCAAAGCCCTCAGAAAAGAACACAGATTGTGGCTTTTGCATGGTTTCGCAAGACAGACGGCTTTGTTCCAGCCGAGGGCTTGTTCCAGCCCAGGGCTGCAGGCGTCCAAACACCCGCACAAACAGGCCCTTAGCCAGGACTTATACTCTGTAAATCGCCAGTCGGCACATAAGGGTTAAGGTACCTGGTTCTTTTGCCTTGGGCTGATTCCGCACCAAGCAGTATAGGGGCAAGACCCTGCAAAACATGGCCAGTGGACTTGGAATCCGGCCACTCAAAAATCGATGCTCAATGGGCTAACAGGCGGGCGAGCACTTGAGGCCTTCACCCGTTCATGCACGGATTGGCTTCCGTCCTTGCTCTTCTTGTCCAGACGGGTGTCGGAACAGGTTGGGCGGGTGCAGCTGCCCGCCAAAAGCGACCGCTGCCGCAGGGGGCAGATTTAGCTGGATATTCAGTAGAGTTCCTTTGCGAGAGTGGGTGATGAGCGGAAACGACCCCTCGTTGGAAACAGCCCGGGGCTGGGACCAAGCTGCTGCTGGAAAATACCTAGCCCTGGAACATGCAGAACATTTTTCACAAGCTTGTGCCTGGAACCCACCCATTGTTGGACAATGCCTCGAGCTGGAACAAGCCCCTGGCTAGAAAACGCCCTTGGGCTGGAAAACTCCTTGGGCTGCTTATCTTGCTGTATGCGCGTCCTTCCATTTTTTCCACGCCCAATAAGGCTGGCAGGTGGGGAGGCTGCCCAGGAAGTTTCGCCGGTGAGAGTCCTTCACACTGGGGAATTGGAAGGTTTGTGCAGATCCACCTTCTCAAGGGTGGGGATGATGAGGCGGAGCCCTAGTAGGGAAGCCAGCGAGGAAGGCCCCGAACCAGTTTCAAAACTTGCCGCTCCAGGCTCCAGAGGTCGCGCCCGCAAAATGCGGCAAGTGGAGCGAGAAGCTGATGGTGCTCTCACGTGGGCAGTTTAAACTCACTTCCCGTGAGCCCGCAAATGTACAGTGCCACGAAGATGCTGGCAGTGTGAGTGCACAGAGTGAGTTGTTTTTCGATGACGCTTAGAAACCAATGGAACCAAAGCCCGCCTGCTTGCGCCAAACAAGGAAGACCGGCTGTGTGGGTTTGGGTTTGTTTCGGCAGAGTTGCTTGTCCCAGGTCAAGGCGGGTTGATAGCTTGAGAGGTTGCTGCCTTTGTGTTTCGCTTTGTTGTTGATCGTCGAAAGGGTCAGGACTTCAGCTGCCAGGCGCCGTCTTTATTAGACGCGGCCTCTGAAGCGGCAGGTTGCCAGGCACCGTCTTTAGTAGACGCGGCCTCTGGAGCGACGGGTGCTTGGGCAATCTTGGGGATGTGCTTGTGCTTGCGGAATAGGTCTCAAGACTCCAAGTGTGGTTGGTTGCTTTCCGGGCACGTCTTTATTACACGCGGTTTTTGGAGCGGCCGGCTTCAGTAACACGAAGGCTTCTGGCTTAAGGTGAAGGGCTCCGCCCGTTGCAGCTCCAGGCGCGCGCGCGCGCGCGCTTCGCGTGTGCTTTTTTCTTTTTCTTAAAAAAACATTCGCCGCTCCAGATGCCGCGCCCGGCCTCCTTTATTGAGGGGTGGGCTTCTGCTGGCCAGGAAGCGATGGTGCAAGGGAACCAAGCGGCCGCCCCACCACCACAAGCTACCAACAGCTTCCGAGCCCGCCGACCCCCGCCCAAAATGCCCTGTCATGGCCTTTCCGGTGAATGATTCCTGTGGGCGCCGCTGCGGCTCCATCGGCATTCTTCACTCCTCTTTATTGCGTTGCCAATCATTAATGCCGCGCGGCTGGGTGTCAACGCCAGCACGCCTTGCTCACACCGACAGCCAGCGCACAGTATGCTACCACGTCAGGGCTGGGGTCTGGGTCTCTCTGCCCTCCCTTTGCCTCTCCCCCGTGCTGCCGCAACTTGGTCTGCAGTTAGCTAGTTACCCCCTCTTGAACCCTTTGCGGAGGGCGGCAAGGACGTTTACGGAGCCGCCCCGAGATGTAGGGGGGGACGAGCGTGGGCGGCTGCAGCTACTGCTGCAAGCCTTCTCCATTCCACTCCACTCCACTCTTTCTCCAATTTGATCACCCTTGGAAAGGGCGAGGGTGTTGCGTCTGCCATGGAAGGCTATCTTGTTCTTGTGTTTGTAGTCTAGTCGCAGGTGAGAGAAGTTCATGAAAAGTTTATAGTCGCAAGTGAGAAAGCAAGAAAGTCACAAGTCAGAAGGTTTCTTACTCACGAACGAGTGGTTGGCCGTGCTCATGGTTCCATTTTTCGTGATCTTCAGCATGCATGTTAGTTTTTGGATCGGAATCTCATTTCCGCACGGAAGATTTGTTTTGGCATGGTGACACCTTTCAAGACTGTCAACAGCTGAAAGGCGTAGGAAACACATATATAGCCTCCGAAGGAGAGTGCTTCGCAGCACGTGGCCATGAACTCCGGGGCCCTGCACCGAGCATCGTCATCGAAGTTGTGTCCTTGCACGTTCGTATGTTAGGAAGTAGTGGCAGCGCGCACTACACACTTCGGACGATGCAAGGCCCTCAGCCTGGTTACTTTTCGCCACGTCTCCAGGAGCAAAAAGAAAGCAGCGGCTGTTTGTTTGGTCGGCACAATTCTTCCAACAGCAGACATCAAGACAAATCGAGAAGATTGGAAGACCCTTCCTCAAAGAATACATTGCACAATCGCCCGAAACAGGAGAGTAGTCATGCCACAAGCAAAACGATGGTGCAGACAGGTACTCTGTGTATGGCTGTGCGTCTTGAGGGCAGCTTGGCTGCCGGATGCCGCAGAAAACGTGGCAATCGCAACGACGAGATCGATGTCATCTCCCACTGTGGCGTTTGTTCCGAATCAGGTGGATTCATCAGGTCATTCGGGTCATTCGGGTCATTCGGCCCTGCGAGTTCGTGTGGGGCCTTCTGTCCTAGCAGGAGACCTTTCCAACCTGGCATTTGAGACCCATCGGGTGATCCGTGCTGGGGCTGATTATGTCCACTTGGATATGTTTGATGGGAACTGGATCAAGGGGGCATTTACCTTTGGGCCAATGGTTGTCAAAGCCATTCGGCATCACGAGCCATTGGCATACCTTGACGTCCACTTATGTGTCTTGCATCCTGAGCAGTACTTGGAAGAGATGAAGAATGCTGGTGCCAGCCGGGTGACCTTGCATTTTGAAGCTCTGTCGGATTCTCGAGCAGCTGCCGAGCGTGCACATGGGCTTGGTCTGGAAGTGGGGCTGGCCCTGGCACCTGAGACTTTTTTGGATGAGTCTCTCTTGTCGGTGGCAGAGCTCTTTGATGCAGTCCTTGTGATGACCGTTCCGCCGGGCTTCGGCGGTCAGGCTTTCATGCCTGAGATGCTGCCCAAGATACGTCGGCTGCGGGAAGCATTCCCCACAAAGGCCTTAGAGGTGGATGGCGGGGTCACGCCGACTACCGCCGCGATGGCTGCCGCTGCCGGCGCAAATGAAGCCGTGGCAGGTTCCTCAGTGTTCCACTCTCACAGCCTCCGGCGAGCCATCAGGCGCGATCCGGTTTGTGGTTTTTGTGTGTGTGTGTGTGCTTTGACTCAGGGAAGAGTTGAAAAGTTGATCTTAAGCTGTTCCCTGCAGGGAGCTCCGGCACAGCTTGGAGCAAGGACAGCGAACATGGCAGAGGGAGCAAAGGGAGCAGAGCTAGCACCGTGGAAAAATGCAAGCGAGTAGCGCCTTTCATGACCGAGTTGCAACACTGGAGGCTTAGATTGCAGATGTTTGCGTTGGCCTTGTGCTAACGGTGTCCATCGATTGTGTGTTTGCGCAGCAGAGTAGCATGGTAGAGAATCAATGGTGCCGGCTGCCAGCCCGATTTGTACGACCGCTACTAAATTAGTCAGAACATGAGCGGCAAGAAGAGAAGGCTCCTGTTATGCAGCGGCAAACCTTGCAAGTTGGAATTTGGATGAGATCTTTTTACCACGCTCCTTAGAGGTCAGCATCTGTAGATGCCAGAGCATGTGTGCACACGACTGAGCATATTGCGAACACTTGACTTGCTGCCATGTCCTGACCGGATGAGAGAGGCAGAGGCTTCATTGCCGTTTTGGGATTGCATGTGGAAAACTAGCCCTGCTTTGTGAGATGTAGCGATAGCGAGCAGTTCGTATGTCTGCACCGAGTGCATGTTGTGCCAGTCCTCACGATGCCAGAAGCATATCGAGATGATGCAAAGGTGTGCCTCTGCAATGAAGGGCTGGGTTCTGCTTCTTCCTCTGGCCCGGACCCTTATCTTTGCCGCTCGACGACAGCTTTTTGGAAAGCTCATGAGAACCTGGTGAGCTCGCTCCATCTCAGGCAGCTTGCGAAACTTCATGTAACTTCCAAGGTGAGGGCAGCCTATTTCCCGGTCTCGCCGCGAACTCAAAGCCACAGTTAAGCTTGCCTGCGAATCAATCATTCTCATGCTGTTTTATGTGACTTGCAAACATCTCGCCCCCTAAGCGCCAAAGATGTTTGCGCAGGTACAATGCAGAAGAGACATGGCAGCGGCCCCTCATGCAGCGGGGGCCTCCTGCAGTACTGAAACTCTACTCCAAGGTATGTTTATCGGATTGTATGCTCCGGAACCTTGTTGCAAACCATATTGCAGATTTAGCCATCGCTGCTGGTGGGTCTTGATGCTTTTGACTCATTTCATTGGCGCGCAAGGCCGTGGGACCCCCTCCGAGCGCTGAGGCAAATGCAGGGCTTCTGCTCAACCTGAAGCTTGCGGTGAGGTAGCACTGGGTAGCACGGTGTCATCACAAGTACGAAGATCTCTGAGGGGAAGCATCATGGTGACGTGGACACCTGCTGCTGGCTTCTCAGCCTGTGCCAATAATGTCGTTCACCTTTATCGGCGTTTCCATGCTCCTCTTCATGTGCGCTGTCCCTGTGCCAGTGGAACCCATGGTGTTCTGTCGATCGCTACGAGCTGCAGGCAGCAAGCTTCCATGAAAGAGTTTTGATGGGCGCATGTGATTCTTGGCTTTTCGACAGGTTCGGCGGCCGAGAGGACCTCCAATGCGATTTGCCGATATGGAGTCTCTGAGGCCCGAATTTGTCAACCGAGCTGGAGTCCGAAGAGCCAACGTGGTAGCTTATTGACTTGGCACATGGGGTTCCAACTTAGCTGCAGGTACAGGGAAGCGGACATCGATGCACAGGAGGTGGACTACATTGACTACATGAGATGAGACTACATTCGCACTCAAGTTTCAACAAGATGTTCTGCAGATTCAAGGTGGAAACTTGGCCCGGTGATGGCGAGTGGGAGCCGTGGAGCACAGAGTACGTGGGAGTAGGCCCAAGTAGCCGCCTTCATTTCTGGCCATCGAATTACGCACCGCCTCGAGCTACTCGAGTTGTCAGGCCGGGCCTACACACTTCAAGTTCAGGTTGAGACGGCGCATGCCGCTGGCCACTTACGAAGCACATCGAAACGCATTTGCCGTGAGTCTGCTGAGCAAACTGCGGTCCAAATCTTTGCAGAGAGACAATTTCGTTTGGCGCTTCAGGTTTTGGAAGTTTGAATCTTGCCTCTCCCTTACATGGCGCCGAGGCTCAGTTCCGGATTCGAGCCTGTGGCCGGCCAGAAAGCCTGTGCCTTATCGAGCTGTGAAAGCCTTACTTTATCACTGGCTTGGGACTTGGATGGGGTCATTTTCGATTGTGCCTTGCCTTTCTTGTCTCTGATGTCTGGTGGGAATTTGGGAGGTGAGAGCGGTGAAAGAGAGCGGTGAGAGAGATCCGAGAGATGGTGGAAGTTCTGCGCTAAAGGCTTGGCAGGTCCTGGGCCGGTTGGTGTCGGCTGCAGTGCCTGGAGCCCTATCCAGACAGCGTGCCCCCATTCTTGCTAGACAGCATGCTCAGAGCTGACTTGCCTGAAGGAAACATACACACACAAACACACCCCAGAGCCTCTCAGCTTGGACGCAGGTACACACTTGTCAGCGCTGCGCAGGACAAGGTGAACCTAATGGTGCGAGGCATGGGGATGACCCAACCTTAGAAACGGAAGCCGACGCTCAGCCGATACTCAGCTCATGAGTAGATTGGCCCGCATCTCTGCTATAAGGAATGCGCCTGACTATGCGCACATCGAGGCTGCTCAACAAAGTGTCTTTGTTCCTTTCCCATGAGAGAGTTGCAAGGTCAACCGTCGGGTGATTTACAGGCCCAACACGCTGAAAGCACACTGTTGGCAAGTCAGTCGGTTTGTTGTGCAGCTCACCCAGGCGTCGTGATGAGACAGGGCTAGTGCTTGCCATCTTTCGGCGTCTGGACTTTTCGCTACAGTGGCTCAGGATAGCGGCCAAAGCACTGTCTGATCAGCCGTTGTCTTCCAATTCTGCATAGCAGGACCTATGACACTCATCGCAATCGCACAGAGGCCTTATGACTCTGACGACATGGACATTGTCTGCTTAGTTTTGGTTCGATCTGGCCTTTATGTGCTGCATGTGAGCCAGAGAGAATCATAGAATCATGGTGCAAGGCACTGATGATGGCGGAGCAGATTCGACAGTACAATGCCAGCTTCTTCGTGGGGCACCTGAGAGGAATTGGATTGTCCAGGTGTCCGAGTGCTCCAAGACTGATCCTCTCCCCGTTCAACCTGAAGGTATTTCACCGCAATCCCTATCTCAGCCTTTCTCAATTGACGGTGCAATTGCAGTCTCATTGGCGGTGCATATCCGGCAGGGGAACGAGTGACCGAAGTAGACGCAGGTTGCAAATTTGGCGCCCAGGGTGAAAGAATATTGCTCTGCTCGCGTGAAAGAATATGGCTCTACTCAAAGATTTGCTGTAATTCGCTACGCTGCCTTTGGAGTTTAGCCTTCACAGAGTATGGAACTGCGAGACACTAGGGTGACTTGTGTGTCGCTCTACATTGACGTCCAGTGCAGTGTAGGGTAAGGACAGTTGGAGTCATGTCCCAAGCATCAGTCTCCAACTGTGTACTGTGCATGTGGTGACCCGTAAGCTCGTGACATGCTCGGACAAGGTCGTGGTGGCATCTACAATTGCGTGGGAATGGCAAGCACCGAGAACGCTCGCTTCTCACTCTCTTCTTAAGCCTCCCTGTCATGCAACTATCTTTCAGATGGTGCCAGGCTCGTTCAGACGATGGAGTTTTGTGGAGCATACCACTTTGGGCATGGGGCTCAAAAGCAGCAGGATGCTGTTCTTGACGCGTCGCGACATGAGAGAGATTCGAGCGAGCGCAGGCAGTGGGCGAACACTTTCGCCGAGCAGGCTGATGCTCCTCACACAATCACATTGTCTGGTCTCTACTGATGTGCAACGTCCACAAATCCCCTATAGGCCCTGAGTAGTAGGCCCTCTGAGTGCATCACACTGATGCTGATATCGCGCTCGCAGATTCGCTACCGCTCGAACACTTCGGACCTGCAGCAGACAGCGTGGCTCGGTTCAGAATTCAGCAGGTCATAGCAGTCCATGGCAGTCATGGCAGTGCCCTCCCTGCACTTCGCGATGCTTCCCGACGCTTCGCACATGACAGAAGCTGAATGTGGAAGCCCAGGTCTCAGGAGCAGTTTGGGCATCCATATGCATTTGTGCGCGCCTTAAAGCCATGAATCCTGTTTTCCGTGTTTCTACATGTTCGGCATCCCCGCAGATCGGGATCCCGGGCATTGGCACTGCTATGGGCTGGGAGCCATGAGCTCAGGGCTACGCATGAACTTGGATGAAGTGTTTCATCCACGAAACGGCTGCAGGTCCTTGATGTACAACACGGGACACTACTTAGCTCGGTCGGTGAAACCTCAGCAGGCGCAGTGACCCTTCAGGAAGATCGCATGCCGCGGATTCATCACGTTAAACTTTCGCTTGTGGTCGAGGCGATAATCAGAGGCGTGGCATATTATGACTACGTGGTGATGGTCTCAGCAGTCTCAGCAGTCTGAGCAATGCAGCAAGGGGTGTTCAATTATACGGCCTCTCTGTGATCAGCTCTTATGGCTCGTTCGCGCTCTAAGGCACGGCTTTATCGCTTGCAGGATATCTCGGCAACAAAGGCGCTGCACTACTAAGTCAAAGCAATCAACCTGCATATGTTCGACCTCATGCAAGCTTGTGTAGCATTGAAGCTATCAGGCACAAGGTAGGCCTTGAGAGGGTGGTTGCTCCACTGTTGAAGCCGCCGAAAACTCTTTGTGTGGAGGCGCTCTTCTTCTTGAAAGGCCAACCGCCATTGTCTGAAACCTTCCACAATCCGGAACTGACCTCAGCACACTCACGCGAAGTTTTTCCTGCTGCTTGTCTATCGTGCGGCAGCAGCTTGCTCGCATGCAGGTTCCACAGCGCAAGACACCTGCGCTGAGAGCTGAGAAGGGGCTGCACTGACATCAAGAATCATCAAGATGTTGCATCCTGGGCATGAGGCTTGACTTCTTCACGCTGGTGTCAATGACCCCTGCTTACACCCCATATGCCAGAGTCTGAGATTGCTCTCCTCAGACGGTCAGCATATCAGTTTTTGCTGGCAGATTGGGACCTTGCGGGAGCACATTACGAAAGTCTTGGAGGACCGTCCCGACTGGAGCACGTGTGCAAGGGGCAGCTTCGACTTTCGTGAGGCGAATGGCACTGTCATTCCGTACAACTTCGCGTTTTACCTCAAGACTGATGCCAACGTTTTCAAGGCAGCTCTGATGCTGCTCCGCCCAGCTTGATTTCCTGGATTCCTACAATTCCTGCAGCGAGAGCGAGAGCGAGAGAGAGAGAGAGAGAGAGAGGGGGACCGTTCTGGAGTCCACAAGAAAGCAAGTAGTCCAGGTGTGGCAGTTGGCAGGCAACCCGAAACTCAGGGTATAGCAACGTCAATTCCACAGGAATGCCCAACTGCGTGCTGAAGTTGACCTAGGGGTGAGCTGAAGAGAGAGACAACAAAAATGAGCGGCCACGTTCTCAAATCCATGTTTTTCTATTGTGAGAGGTGGATCCGCGCCCCCGTAGCTGGTGGCTCACGGAGCTGGAGCGCGTGTGGGGTGGGCCCGGCACACAGCCTTAAAGCATCTTGAAGTTCTTGAAGAATCTTCTGTGGTGAGATCGCCGAACATTCCCCAGGGCAAGCATACGCCACTTTCAGCACAATGGAACCATCCTCCACCAGGGCCAGAACTTCGATCAAAGGTTCGCAGCTGATTGAGTCTCGTTCCAGCATCTTGCAGATGATGTTCTACCCGGGTTCTGCGTTGTGCTCTGTGGGGATCCTTTTGTCACATGCCGTCAGTCCCGGGCCTTGCCAGGAGCTGCCCGAGCTTCGTCAAGCACACACACCTCTTTGCAGACCCACTGTCCTGTGGCTCAAACTACCAGGACAACTTGAGCTTGGAAGCCTGCGAAGCCTCATGGGGGGCGCATGCACCTCTTGGTCAGAAAAGCGTGCCGAGAGCTTTGGAAGGATTGCTGCGATCGTGTCGATGTTCCAGATTTCCCTGTGACTGAGCCCGTGGCTTGGGAAAAGTTTGGAAAACACTCCAAGCCATGTTTCGTGGTACACACACACCTGTCATGGTCAGGTGCGGCATCGGAGTCTCTCCCACACTTTGCCAGAATCCTGACACCATCCAGGCCCGATCCCTGAAAAGAGAAGCTGCTCAGCGCTACTGTGGACAGTAGACATAGGGAGCTGATATGCAGCAGTGTAGCATGCTGACTTCGGCGTTGCGAGTAGGCACATTTTTTGGGTTACCTGCTGTCGCAGGTGTTCTGCCTGGAGATCAACAGGCCAGCATTCTGCACAACTGGACACAGTGACATGCTTTCTTTAGCTTGTTTCTTGACGTACTGCGGACACCATGCCAGCCTGCCAAGGATTGAGGGCTTTGGGGCTGAGGGTTCAGGTGTAGGTTGAAAGTTGTTATCCAAGTTTGTTGTTTTGGCTCCAGTTATTATGTTCTGTAGGGCTGTAGGGTCTAGTGTCCGAGTGTGTAACGGATTGGAATATGACATGGCTTTTCTTTAGGAATTGAATCGATTTCTCGCACTTGGTTTATGGTTCAAGAAGGTTGCTGATGCGTCGGGGGCGTTCCGCAGTTGGTCGGCATTTCAGGTTTCCCTGGGTTCGAGTTCGGATTTATCTGAGGGAGAGTTTGAGACCCGGCCAGGACCACCTCTTGGGTGTGGCCCTGTGATTTCCGCATCATGAACTGGACGGCATGAGTTCGCCAAGTTTGCTCTCTCATGTGCCTTCGCTCGATCCTCAAGGGATGTGATCGCACAGGTTGTCTTATAGCCATGTACATAGAGTCACACCTCAGTGCGTCGCCGACATGTTCAAAGGGTCACACACAGCTGGCTTTTGCACGTGGTTGTGGCTCTCCAAGTGTTAAACCCTGACGCAGGGAGCGGTCACATCTTCGCCGCCCAGAGTAAACCACGAAGCAGGGGAAAGGAAGCACCCAAACAGAGGAAAGCAGACGACTGCAACAGAAACTTGCCGGAACCAAGCCTCAAACCTGTGACCAGGGTTGGCTTTCAAAAGGGGGTCGCCAGAGTTTTGTTGACGGCTTGGCTAGGCCCGAGCCTCCTCCCTCAGGTCCCCAAACCACACAGAGCCGCACACAAATACCGCCCTGTTGAAACCCTGTTAAACAAAACCCAGGTGGTGAAAATGGAGAGTAGGAGAAGGAGAGTCGCTGACTGGTGAAACATGTTCGTGCTAATGAGCGGCAGGTTGACGGCACGCCAAACCTCTTAAAGTCATTGATGTGCAAGTCACGAACTTGTGAGAGTACTTCCCCCAAATCTTCATTTGCTTTGGCAGAGTCTGACAAGTCCAAGATGGTCCAAGGTGCAAGTTTCCACGTACTTACTAGCCTTCTTCGTACCTTCAGCCCTTACCAAACCGCGCAGCAGGGATCACACCAGAACTTGAGTGCTATTCACAGCAGCTCTGGCGCCATGGCGGGCGATCCGCCGGCTGACTGTGGCTTGGTGCAGATGGCCTTTGCTTTTGCTTCTTCCTTTTGCTTCTTCCTTTGCTTCTTCTTTGCGTAGCTGTAGCTCTGGTCGCCATCGATGCGGGGCCATGTGGGGCCCCTGTGGGGGACGGCGGTGGGCTGTTAGGCGAGAAGCTCCCGGATATCACGGACCAGGTGCGAGTGCAAGAGTGCGAGACGCGGAAAGCCTTGCAAAGCATCTTAAAGGTGGCGGAGCGGCTCCTACGCAGCCTCGAGCTGATGGAGGCCGCAGACTGCAGACATCTTGTGTGTACAGCTTGGCGCCTTCTCCCGGTGCCAGGACCTCGTACTCTTAAGTGTGCCCCTTTTTTGCGCTCTTGTCCCGGCTGTCCCAGAGGCAGATTATCAGAGAACGTTGGCCGCAGAGCCGGTCGCGCCACAGCCGTTGCCTGCCCGATGACGCGTCGGGATGTGACATTTCAAGCGCACAAGAATTACCCAGCAAGGGTCATTGGTATGCTTCTTGGAATGGGCGCTTCAGCTGCGAAATTCTGCATCCGAGCTCAGGCTTCAACCAACCGGCCTCCTTCATGAACAAGCTGACACGGCAGCGGGGGATCGGCCAATTCGGTGTTTGGAATAATTTCTGCAGCGTGGCCAGGACGAGGAGTGTGCCAGCGGTGGCGAGCACGGCTATGCCGCATTGGGCTCTGAAGGAGGACGCTCCATGACGCTGCGTGTTGTCCTGCCTCTTGCGGTTCGTGGCACTGAGCTTGACTTGGGCCTTGACAGGAAGCGATGACGAAGAGGCGGATCGTGCTTGTTGACATGCCGGTAGCTCATCTTTCCTGCAAGCGCATGTATCAGCTCGATGTCCAGGCTGGCATAGAGAGTGGACGTTGTCCTGCGACTGCAGAAGGCGGGAATGCCCCTTCGAGTAGAGGTTTTGGGACTCGTTTTGGGACTCGTTTTGGGACTCGTGTGTGGCAGATGATTGGGGCGGCTGGCAGAGCGGAGATGCCGAGGCTCTGACAGGGCACTGTCGCACCCCAGTTTTGACCGGCCCTGTTTGAGAGGCTCAGAGACCGCCCATACAAGCCTGGCAAGATGGCTCCTTGATCCGGAGCAGTATGCGAGGGAAAGCAAATCCACTTGTAGGGTCAGTAGATCAACAGGAGAAGAGTGACGCCGCAACAGTACCGCGCAACAGTGGAAGAGTGCCTGGAGATGACCCGCTCAGGTCCCACTTCAGAAGGGGAAAGCCATGAGGCCGCAGCCTGATGAATCCAAGATTCGCAGTTCCCGCTTTGGGATTTGTGGGAACCGTGTGTTGTTGGTTGTTCAGCCATGTTCAGCCTGTTCAGCATGGTGGGCCCATCGTATGCAAAACATACCAGCGAGTGCCTTCGTGTTTTTGTTGGGCTGGTAAAGTATCTGAAGGTGATACTTCTCAGGGCACACTGTGCATGCAGTGCACACCTGTGTGCAACTTTAAATTTAGACGACCAAGACCCTTTCCTGAACCTGCTAAGGTCCTCGAGAGCTTTGCCAACTTTGCTTCTTCGAATCCGGTCCACAGCCCAGAAGTCTCTTGGGGCATTCTCAACGATCGGAATATGTCGAGATGGCCCCAAACACCCAAACACTGCAAGAGACCTCACTAAGAGAGCACGTCAAGGTCACTCCACGCCAGCACTTCAATATGGCCACCCTTTAAGTGCATTGCATGGGCGCAAAAGTGACGACACTTCTGCCCTTCCCGAGGGAGCGCACGGCTTCCGAGGTGAGAGCGTCGTTTGCAACATCGCCAAAGTACGTAAACTTTGATTCAGATCCCCTTACAATGGACCCACGACACACGTAGGGGATTCGGCAACAAATGTGGGGCTCTTTTTGGGTACCCAACGATCACCACGGAAGGCGGAGCTAGGTCCGCTAGGTAACGCCGAGCACCGACGCCATCGATAACCGGGCATGCCGAGCACCAAAACCGCTACAGGATGGAACTGGATGGAATTGGATGGAATTGATTCTGGCTTTCCCCCCTCTTCTGCAGTTGTGCGAGCCGTGGGCTATCGCGCGGTGGTTGAAGTTCACGTCGGAAAGACGTCTCCTGCAAACTTTCTCCTCGAACGGACCACGGACAAATTATGAGGTTGGCTTGTGCTTGGTTGATGGGAGCATTAGACTGAATCGTCCTTGCCATGAACAGCGCGCCCAGCGCCCCCCTCCTCCAAGCCCCGCAGCCGCCCCAAGATTTGAGCGGGCCGCGCTGAGAGCCACGCGACCCGGGGTGCCGCCCCTGCAGCGCCTCGACCTCCTCGCTCAACTCACACGCTCTCACGCACCCCTTTCACGTTCTAAGTCTTACCCAATAGTGTTGCACATGTGTTGCCCACATTCGGGGAGTATCAAGAGTAGGTGTTTGCTGCGTTCGTTTCGAAGATCCCACAAGCCTGCCTGGGGACTTAGGCTCTTCCAGCCCCACCTGCCGAGATGCGTCCGATGCAGGTGCCGAAGCCTGCGTTGAGGGGACGGGGAAAACACGGTGCAAAGGACTTTGATACTGTGGGTCCGTGCGACTGTGCGACTTCCGTTTGTGATACTGTTGCTGGTTGCTATGCATGTTCCCGGAATGAAAAAACACATACAAACACCCAACCTGAGCGACCCTGGCACGAAAGCCAGGCCACTCTGCTGACAGAGGACGAGATCAAAGTGATTAAGGAGACGATGCAGCAGGCTGGGGTTGGAAGCGCAGGCGCATCCCTAAAGCATTCCCTACCGGCTGGAGATCTCCCCGCCGGCACCGGCATGGGCTTCAAAGCTGCCTCCTGGCTGCATGAAGGAGTATGCTGGGAATGTCTGTGCTAGGAATGTCTGTTCTTGCTACCGGACAAAGGTCAGACGAGGTGTTCCAGCGAATGATCAAGGACTCTTGACGGCCGTTTTGCATCGAGCAGCAAGGAACTGCCGTGCCTGGACGCTCGATTTTGCCAGGAGTCCTTCTTCTCCTGATGCAGCGCGTGAAGCCTTGGTGCGCTGACTGAGGAAGGCTGACTTACTTCAGAGTGAGGAGAGGACACCTAGAGCAACGGCAGGGTGCTTCAGCTTGATCCTGCGCTCTCGAGATCTCTCGAGTATCTCTGGTGTCACATGCAGGCAATGTGCAGTCTTGCCAGCTGACGCTCACATTTCTGACAGAAACCAAGATGCTCTGACTAATGTTGGTTGCCTTTGTGCCCCTCTTCCAATTTGGGTGGTTGCTTGTTGCTGAATTGTTGCCGTCACATTGCGGCCCCAGCTCTTGGGAGATCAGAGTCGCCTCGTATGAGAAGTTGACGCCAGAACCGTATGTTTCAGCCATGATGTACGCATACCCAATTTTCTCAGCACCGTTGGCCTAGCTGGTGAAGCGTGCATCAAGCAATGCCCTCACCGTCGAAAGGCCGGGCACCATGACATCCCTCAAGCCTTGTCACGCATGTAATAAACGTAATCTCTCTCCCTCTTCTGCTTTAAAATTCCTGTTAGGCTTCGAGCGGTTGCTGAGCACGCAGCTGGAAGCCCTCCGCAACAGTCTTCTCCAACAGCACAACACAGAGGTTGACGAATTGAAAGCGACAGTTGCAAAGTTGCGGTGTCAGCTCAATGACCCCAACTGCAAAGACTCGAACTCGATGCCCCTTGGTTGCAGTATGTTCCTGTTCCTCCTGGAGAGCAGGGTGTCTCGCATCTGTAGGTCTTGGTGTGCTTCAGAAACTGAGGTCAGGAAGCTGCACTGACAGAAACCCCAATCTAAGGAAATGCAGCAAAACTGACTTTGTAACGTGGTGTCGATGATTCGTATTCGTTGTTTTTGCCATGTGTGCGAACAAGTGCGGCGAAGGAGTTTGTAGAATTGGATCCTGAAGGGATGCGGGCAAGCTCAGCGTGATGCCGCTTAAGAAAGCGACAAACAAGTCAGGAAGGGTAAAAGAAGTACAGACACTCAAGACATTCAATCACCCAAGACAGAAGAGTAAGCAGAGGTCCGGAGGAGACATCAAAGACGCTTCCGGTTTCGACACGTTTCGCGCAAGCTCACACAAGCTCGCGCAAGCTCGCGCAAGCTCACGACGCGGGCCTAGGGATGAGACTTGAGGGATTAATGGTCGGTGTTTTTCGACTCCTTCTCTTCTGGGGGGACTCTCTCGCTCTCTCTCTTTCCTGAGCCTTGGGGCACAATGCGATGAGAGGAGATACAAGTAGATTTATTGAAGATCTCCTTCTCTCTCTTTCTCTCTCGTTCTTTTATTCTTTCTTTTCCTTCTTTCGTTTCCTTCTTTCTATCCCTTTTTCTTTTTCTTCCTTCCTTGAAGAAAGATTCCACGATGCATGATGTCAAGCATAAGATGCCAGGCGCCCCGTCATGAAAGATGAATTTGAAGGATCTCTCAACCCCCCAAAACCCTACAGAAGAAGTTCAGGCCAAAGAGCACATGTTTCGACGGCACATGGCAGATGTCTGACAAAATTCAATTGTTGTCCATAGCACAGCGTGCCACGGGCTCTCGTGCCTTGTGTGTATTGTGTTACAGTCGACACCGGCGTGCAATGAGATTGTCGAGCAACCGTGGGTCTGAAGGACGAGTCAAGACGAGGGCTTTCCAGTAACGTCTTGCCACAACGTGCCAAGAGTATAAAGGCATGTGAGAGTACTTCTACAGAATTGTACAAGTCAAGTAGGAACCCCTTCAAGGCTTTGCATGGTAGGAGCTTTTGGGGTCTTGCTTTTCTCTTCAGTCCCAAGATACAAATCCCTAGACCCAACACGAAATGTGTTCTTGGATGATTTTTGTGCATCTCACAGACCTCCGGTGTTGAAGGTTTGGAGTTACTCTAGTTTTCTGCTTTCATCTGCTTTCTGAAATTTGGAGTCTTTCTGGTTTCGTATGATGTGTCTGCACCCGCTTAGCATCGGGCCAGCGTAGGATTGAGGGTGCAAAGAGTGCTAAAGACTATGACGATCCGATCTCTTGGAGTACGTAGAAAAACATTGGATTGCAGGTTTGGGGCTGAAGTGCAATCTTGCTTTGCTCACAACATTCGCGTCTCAGCAACTGGCCACAAGCCCCACGGCTCATTGTCGGGCCTCCCGAAGGACCGACCGAGCTCCAACAATGCGTTTTGGCATGGTTCCAAAACTCATTTTTGGCCCCATTTTTGTTGACTCCAGAATGGATCTCTGGGAACCCTCGTCAGTGTCTTTTGGGCTCATCGAAATCCAAATAAGGCCAGGAGTCTCAGGACTTTCAGCAGTTCAGCCCACCACCATCCCCACGAAGAAGGTAGATGAACGGAACTCTTGTTCAGAAAATAAAGAAATAAAATCGAATAAAATGAAAGAACGGTTCTCACATGAGATGCATTCGCCCCCACAGCCTTGTGTTGGGCTTGTCGAGCGTTGCTTTTTTTCAGAAAAGACATGTTTTCTTTTGCGGGGGTGCAATGTCTGGCGGCCCTTTATTGTGAAAACTCTCCGAGGCCTGATAAGCCCAGCGACGAGGCTGGCACGCACATGACGTGGGCTGATTTCGCAGCGAAGCTCCTCGACAGAGAGGATCCACGCCCACGGCTTGTCGGGCCATTATGATTATGGGAGTTACCGCAATGCTACTGCAGTAGTGTCACCAGTCAAGTTACCCCAATACGTGTTACCGCAGGAGGACCCAGACGATGACCCGGAAGAGCTATTCGAGGCGGACTCGTCTTTGAACGTGCGCCCAGTTTGGTTCTCCAGCACATGGCAACAAGCTGCGACCCTTAAAAGCAGACCTGTGCAGACTTCTAACGCTTATACGTGCCTCAGGGTCATATGCTCCAGACTTGGCAGGGTTTGGGTTTGGAGTGCCGGTCGTGGCATGTTCAGCACCCAGGAAGAACCGGCGCGTGCGCGGCTACCCCTCCGACCGCAACTCCCTGCCGATGACGCGGATGAGCGATGACCTCACGGACACATCATGCCTGCAACGATTCGTTCTAAGACCCCGCAGCAAGCTGCAGCTGACGTGGTCCATGATTGGCACGATGCTCATCCTCTGGGACCTGATCACGATCCCACTCGAGCTCTTCAACATCCCAGGTTCCGTGGACTTCTTCAGCGCGACCACGAGGCCGGAAAAAGAGAGTGCATGTTCATGAAATGTTTAGAATTCCCTTTTTCCTTTATTTGAACACATTTCCCCAGGATCACCTTGGCCTTCTGGATCCTGGACATGCCATTGAACCTCTGTTTTGGACTTGAGAGAGGTGGACGTGTGGAACTTAGACCCTTCCAACTCTTCATGATCTACGTGCGCTCCTTGGCGCTATTCTGTGATGTTCTGTGGTGGGGCGTCGCTTTCAAGAGTATACTATGGTGCCATGCTTTATTGGTTCTTGCTAGTCCACGTCGAGTTTGCGAATCCTTTCATTCAACCGGAGAGAGGCTCTTGGTTGGTTTTGGACGTACTCGTCATCTCTCTTGACTTGGTGCTGATGATTGTTGAGATCGTGAATGCATCAGAGAACAACGACGGCGGCAACACGGGCCTCAGGCAGCTTGGGTCGGAAACTCTCGTGTTGACGGCGATCAATTTGGCTGTTGTCCCACGGGTTCAGAAGGGAAGTAGGAAGTACTAGGAACTGCTACCCTTTAGCCTCTGAAATCAATGTATGCGCGCCGTTTCCCACAGTGTTTCCCAGGTTCGCACTACAAGCAGGGCCCCACACACACACACTCGCATTTGTTCGAGCCGACAGGGGCTTGCATGCCTCCACGGGTGTGGCCTGAAATCACATCCGGAAAATCAAAAGCCGTGGCTACAAAGCACCTGTCTCCCAGATCTGCTCGTTTCCTGCGCACCATGCGCTTGCTTCGTCTTCTGCGGCTTCTCCGTGCCGCTCTCAGAGGAGCTTTTCGGTGCTTTCGGTGCTCTGTTTTCTGTTTTTTTGTTCTCCGCTGCATTGGCGGCTCTTTGTCCACATTTTGACATTGTGATACGCTGTGGGACCATTTACAGTAGTTTCTGTCATGACCTGGAAGAAGCAGTCTGGTCAGATGTGCAATGACACTGCCTGCAAGGTGCCGTGAAGCTGCAGCAGGCCATGCTGCCTTCTCTTGCTTTCTGTTTTTTTTTTGAGATCTTTGGAGTCGCCAACCATAAAATAGCGTTACCACATTAACGTTTTCCTGGACGGCAGCCATTGAGAGCTTCTTCGTGTCTCTGAAGACATGTCCGTTCCCGGCAAGGAGCTCACACTCATCGCGAACCGCTTCCTGTCGACCCATGCTGCTTAGCAAGACTCAACACATGCACAGCAAGACATTTGTCAGCCTTCTCTTCGTGTCTTAAAGCTGCACGCACGCCGTTTGCAATGGTGCTTCTGATGGAGCTTAGGTCTTCATGATGGCAAAGGTTGTGTTCGGCCTGCTGATGCTTCTTGGACTTGACAAGCTGCATGGCCCATGGCCGATCTCTTAGCGGATTCATTCTGATCTCAGGATGCTTGCGATCAACCACATCATTGCCTGCCTCTGGTATGGAATTGGGTCTTGGACCGGGTGAGAGGGAAAGAAACACCAGTGATACACCGAAGCAGCCAGACGGAAGAGCTGCACTGCTACTCCGAAGATCGGCTCATGATCGGCTCATGATCCGGTCTCCTGTCCATGCCTGTCCTGTCGGGAAGGACTGCGTTGGATGGCAGAAGCTGGCTGGAGCAAGCACGGCTGGCAGGTGACGAGGCGCCTCATGGAAAGCAGTTGGCATTTGCCTACTTTTGCGAGAGTTAAGTTCAATCACTGCTCGGTTTCATCTGGAAAGCAAGAGGCAGCAAGAGCATGTTCTTAAGCCAATGTTAAGCCTTGTCCAGACTTGGCACACTCTCGGCAGGCAGATTTCGCTGAGAGGCCAGGATGCTTGCGGCTCCCGCGTCTGAGTCGAGTTGCTCATGTTGCTCATGTTGAAGCTTCAGAAGGTCTTGTTCTGTGAGGTATGCAGTTTCGATCCACTGGACACTCACGCAGTTCACGCCGGCCACGAACAATGTGGCTCCAGACAATGCGCTTGAGAGGCTGCTTTCGTTTGTGCTGTTGAGTTTTTGCTGTTGAGTGGCCTCAAGTCATCGCGGTGGAGGTTCTTCGCTGTGTGGGTAATCCTACTGGCGATGGGTGTGTTCTCATCCTTTATCAGCTCTATCACCGCCACTGTGAGTGCTTGACCAGCAGGGAGACGGGGGTTGTGTTCAGTCCATGTCCCTCTTCCAACTGTTAAGCAGTGGATGTCAGCTCGCTGCAGTCGCTGCACTCTGCTGCAGTCCCGCAGCTGTGCAGTAGTCAGACATCAGATGGCAGAAGTGACTCAGCTCAGGCAAGCTGCAGAACTCGCGCGTGGAACAGTTCCAGCAGCGAGCGAAGCTTCTGCGCTTCTTTGTCGAACGGAACCTCTCCGCGGAGCCCGAGGGGTTTTGGGGGGAAGGAAATTCTGTAATACGATTGAAAGAGGTTTGGCGGATCCTGGAAATGAGACGAATGATTTGCGAGCATTCTCACATTGCGCGACATGGTCGCAGCGCAGGACCTGTACGCAAAGGTCGAAGAGGTCTTGCGGCAAGAAGGACCCTCTTCGGGATGTAGGAGCGTGATGATGATTAGGATTAGGACCATCAGGTTGAGAGGTTCTGCTCGCAACCGTTCCAGCTTACACCAAGGGGCCGCGGCACACACACGAACGGGTTTTCCACCTGGCGCATGCTTAGGAATGCTTGTGCTTGAGTCCGCTGCCGAAGCATCTGCTGCAGCTGCACATGCTGTCTTCCATGGTCTTTTTTTGGCCACGCTTCAAAGACTCTGGGAAGCGCGCCTTTGCACGTGCGACTCAAACAGCCCAAGCCAGGACTCTTTGAGGTTCGGATCAAGGAGCGCGATGTGAAGCTGGTGGAGGGCATTCCCGAGCGTCTCAAGATGCAATTGCACGAGGAGCCTCGCGTGTGTGCTGAACAAGAGCCTTGAACGCTCGCCGTCCTTTGCACGTTTTTAGGTGTGTCATCAAATGTCACAAGCTGCAGGAGATGTTTCTGTCCCTGCTGGGCCTCCTTCCGTTCTGGCCAGCCTGGACTGAAAGGGACAGCTTCCTGCATCGCCAGATCTGCCACCATGCGCCCCGGACTCCGGCGGACACGGTTATCCGAGGTGAGTCATGAGTTGTAGAGTTGTAGAGAGTTGTGGAGGGCAGCGGGCTCCGAGGCAATGCGAGAATGCGCGGCAGTGCCGGGCCAGGATGCATTCATCATGGGTACGGATGCAAACGAGGCCTTGTGCCGAAGCTTTCTTGTCTTGCCTCGCCGGTTGAAAACATAGATAAAAAGTTGTTCAGTTATGTGAAGGTGGTGTGAAAGTGCATGGAGCGTGGGATAGTTGAAGATGCGAAGGGACGTCCTCGTTTTCACACGCTCGCAGGTTTACATCATTGAGTCTGGCAGCATGAACTACTTGCACTTGAACAATCGAAAACATAGCGATGAAGTCTCGGCGGAGGCTATTGTCTGCTTGCAGTGCATCTTTGCAGAATGGAAACATCGTGGGCGGCTCTTCGCAAATCGTTCTTCTTGCTACTGGGCAAGTCTCGATGCAGTTCAGTTTTGCAACCTGATCGCTGATCATGGCGGTGCGGTTTGGCAACACTTACACATTTTTGGAATACTCCTTGTTGGAGCAATTGAAGATCGCACATGGATGATCAATGACGTGAACTGGAGTATGGTGGGGGTGGACGAGCTGTGCAAGCGCACTGTGAAGTATGCTCCCAGACAACACAGGGCATAAGGTTCTCGGTTTTGGTCTGAGTGAGTACACTTGCATTAAAGCACGTTCTTGGTGGAGACATTGTGATTAAGGCCAGCATTCTCAACGAGAACCACGGAACAACGTCGGCAAGCTTAGCTTTGATAAGAACGTATTCCAAGGACTAAGTGACTAGCCCGCAAAGTCGGCAAAGTCAGTCTCACAATTGTGCAGCCTGCACGGAGCTTTAGGGCCAGTGATTCGGCCACAAAATGGCGAAGGAGCGGTTGCAGGCAGTCGCAGGCAGTTTCCGGAAGGGCGTGAGAGTATCGTTTCTGGACGAGAGTGCCGGATAGGTGATCCACCAGGAGGATAAATTCATCAAAGTCTAGAAGTTCCATAGAAGTTCTACATCCTCTGACAGTTGGACCCCGAGGCATGGAACCCTGAGTGCTGTGAGGTCCCAATTTCGTGTTTCTCTAGGTTCAGGGCCGAGGGTGCAACACATGCGACGCGCTGCGGACCTCATGAAGAGCCAAGAGCTGTCGACATGTTCCGAGAAGGCAAGTCAAATACTCCGGTGGTCTGAGGGGGTTACCCAGAATCCGAAGTGGCCTGTTCGCCACAACTCCAAATGCCGGCCAATTAGCGACATCTTCATTGGTTGATTGAAGAAGTGGCCCTGAATGTGCGATTTTTATAAAGACGATGGCTTACGCGAACTGTGCTGGCTCAAAGGCTCTGGCCTCAAGGCCATTCCTTGCTTGAGTTTCGTGTGTCTGTAGACTTGTCCATCCTTACGTAGCATTCCCGTCAATGTCAGATCCATGATCCACGCTTGGGCGCTGAGCCTTTGCTACCTGGCAGCTGGACTGGAGATCGATGGGACCGAAACTGTTGGAGTTGCTCCGATCTCAAGCACCCTTTTTCTGATTCTGTGAAACCGCCCAGATGAACTCGTGAGCACGCACTGTATGAAAAAAAGGATTGCTGCACATTGAAGTCGTTGAAGTCTGAAGGTCAGACTCCACTCGGAGCCCTCAGAGCCGCTAGCCGTAGAGCCCCCGGTCTTGCTGGAGCTGGGATCGAACCTCACTTGGCGTGGTCGCCGCTCGGGTGAAACTGCACCAGCCTATGCTTCATAGGTCTTCAATGGTCTTCATCTGAACTGCAAAGTGCAAAGGGAGGGTGTGTTTATGCGTGTTTCACAAGGCTGGCAGCAGCGAGTGCGCGAGGGAGGCGCGAAGCTTCCGGACCTTGCAAAAGTCGAGAAGGATCTGCTGACATGCCTACCAGAATGTCGGCAGTCTCGGGGTACACATGTCTCAGTGTCAGGACTCGCCTTTTGGAACGGGTCCTGGACGCAAGGCTGGAACAACTACGTTTTGAGCTTGGACACATCCGCGAACGCCCATGCCATGCTATGCCATACTCGTGCCAGCTTCATAGCTACGTAGCAGCTCCATAGCAGCGTCATAGCATCTGTATCAGGCAATATCAGGCATTCTGTGTCGACTGGAATGCCAGGTGACCTGTGTGGGCACCTCGGGCATCGCGCTGCCAACGGGCTTCACGGAGCCCGCACTGCAGCCCCTGATCCCCGCAAGAAGCATCGAAGAGGTGGGAGATGTTTTGCAAGGAGCTCGCAAGAGGGTTTGTTTGAAACAGCAGTGACGCTTGTGACTGTGAGGCCCACCCCACCCCGCTGCACCTTTCCGAGTCAAAAAGCAGATTTTGGCGAGTGCTAAAGCCGTCCCAGTGAGGGTGCAGTGCATGGGGGAGTCTTAGTGTTGCCGACTTTCCTGATCTTCCCTGTCCAGGTTTGGGCATACAACGATGCAGGCAGATACGGCACGAACGCCAGAGGCTAACTTGTTCTCTTCCCAAATTGTAGCGTGATGCCTTGTCACATGAGTTGGCAGTAGCCTGTCCAAGGTACAGGGCATGCGCTTTGCAGCCATTGCTTTGGCGAAAGGCGAAGATAATGCAGGCTCCTTGAACAGATGTAGTACACAATAGTACACATTTTTTGGCTTTCCACTCGAAGACGACCGAAGCAAGCTTGCTTCTTGGCCATACACATGCTATTGTTCACCCCTTCGTATGCTGGCAGGAGGGTGACCTTTGAAAATGGTCAACAGCCCAGCAAACCAAGACATGAATGCGGCGCCCTGTGTAAGGTAGCCAACAAATAGTCTTTGGCACAGACGTGCCTTCTGCTGCCCCGGTTTGGAACGAAGCAGATTGCGATTTTGGAACGACGCTGAAATCTGGTGCAAGGCACGAAGTGTATACGAGCGCAGTCTTGTGCAGACTACCGGCAGTGGACATGCAAACTCGTGCACTAGATTTCTTCTCCAGGGCGGACTCCGCTGCAAAGAATGCGGAGACAAATGCCACCTGGGAGGGCACCACTTGGCGCATCTATCGCCAGGACGGGAGAAGCATGTTGTAGAGAGTACCACGAAAAGAGAGGGTTGGAGCAGCAAAAAGGAAGCTGCGCATGAACCCTCTGCATTGACTCAGGTAGCAAATTATTGTAACAGGGCATCAGAGCCACTTAGCATGTGCTGGATGTGGGGCCAAAGCGCAGGTGACTTGCGTGGGCACCTGGGGCACGCACATTCCGTGGGCTTTCACTGCACCGTCCGCGACGCCAGATCCTGTTCCCAAGAGCTTGGCAGAGGCGAAGATATCAGGGGGTGATGGGGGCGCCTGCAGCATGCTTCCTCACGTGCTTTGCAGTGTTTTGCTCGCGGTCGTTTACGGCTGTGTGATTTTGGAAGATTCTTGAGCTCTGCTTTCTTTGCCCGGCCCTGAAAGATCTGGGAAACCAATGTAGCTGGAGACTATGGCTCCAATGCCTCATCCTTGGCATTTTCACTTTCAGCAGGTTCACTGCAGTTGACAAATTGTTCTGCAGGCTTGTGTGCTTCGTGCTGCCAGTTCCAGAGTACCGAGGTGCAAGGCATGCAGTACGCCATCGTTAGTCTCATGGACGGGCAGAAGAATGGAGGCCGGCCACAAGCCAAAAAAAACACACTGCTTACCAGTTCTGTTGCAGGGAAATATCGCATCTTCTTCAGCAATGCCCTGCCACCAGAGTCAGAGACGCTCGATGCACTCAATGCTCCTTTTAGTGCTCGGGGGCAATGCGGCTTTGGGCCTGGCAAGTGGGCGTGTGTTGTTGCACCGCCATGTACGAACGAGACGAGGGAAGAAGGACACACCCTTGTTGAAGGCGATAAAACGACTCCCAAGAAAACGGAGTAAGAAAGATGAAGAGGGAAGAAGAAGAAAACCGATCCCAAGGAACTTGTGGAAAGACGAGGACTGCGAGTTCGGCACCAAGGCGCGCAGAGAGACTGACAGACCGAGACACGGACAGACGCGAAGAGTAATCCCTAAACCCCTAAACCCCTAAACCCCTAAACCCCTAAACCCCTAAACCCCTAAACCCCTAAACCCCTAAATCCTAAACCCTAAACCCCCAAAGCCGTGTTTGTTGTTTTTTGTGTCTTTTCTGGCGGAGGCACTCCTCATGGGTGCCAGCCCGGGTGCACTCCCCAGGCGCCGAGTGAATCCTACCGGTCAGCGAATGCCATGCTTTGTCTGCACGCCTCAGCTCCAGAGCCCTTGCACAGGAAAAACGGGGAGAAGGAGACGCCTTGGGGAGATCTTCGAAGTGAAGTTGAATGCCTGAAGTGAAGCATTCCGAGTCGACTTCAATTTAGCCTTAGAGCTTCATGGTTTCTCATCCTTTGTTGCAAGCGTGCTTCCACTCCTTTTTGTGGCTCCCTGCTTTTGGGGCCGCCCGGTTTCCTGGGCCAATGGTCCAGTGGTCTCGTGGTCCCGTGGTCCCGCATTCCTGGGCGTGTCCCTCATTTGGACCGTACTGTTCCATTTCCGTGTGCATGGAAGTCGGCTGTTTTGGATCGTTCGATGTTGTGCAGCTGACCTGCCTTAGTGTTGAAATGTGTGAGATGTGACATCTTCTTGAGAAGGAGACGACCTTTGGAGGGACGACCTGGCGCTTTTACAAGCGGGAGGCCGATCCTGGGGTTGGTGAAGATAGGCGAAAAAGGGCAAAGATAGGCGAAGCTGGTTTAAGTTTAAGCAGGTTTAAGCCAGAGATCTCGGAAGTTTTGTGTTGGAGCTTTCATCCTTCGAGGCGAGCTGTGAGGAGAAAGTGGCCATCATCGAGCCTGGCACCATCGTTTGCGAAAGCAACACGTGGTGGGGAGGCAGGGTGTTTGGGGAGTCAGGGCTAGTCCCTTGCTGCCAATGGCCCAGCACATGAACATTTCTTTGCCAGGATGGAGGAACAGCAGAGATTGCACTCCCCAGATCACCGCGCAGGGTGATTTAACCACGTGGAACAGAGGATACGGCAGCTGGGCGTTAGAGATTGGCGGCTCCACAGAAGGAGATAGGGTTGTTGTCTTGACCGGCTCTGGAGAATAGTGACACATTCACTTGACCTTATCATGTTGCACCTCCAAGAGGGTTAACCTGGCTGCCACAAACCCTCCATGACCATCCCCTTCCGTTCTCCAAACCATTCTAACCCCAAGAGCCCAACAACTCTTCCTTGGCACATGTTCCAGAGGTTTAAATTAAAATCTTCTTTGAGCGGTTCCAGGGCTTTTTCCTTAATGGCCTTAGCGTTGCGGCTGTGAAGTGGCGCAGTTGGGTTGGTACAAGCCAAGGCGTCCATTTCACGGAGTGGGCGAAGATTACACTGGCCCAGCCGGCAAAGGTGTCTCAGGTGGAGATCTTTCACTGGAGAGGCCCTGCTAATGTGCTGGTCGACTGATGCCTGCGAGCATTCGATATCTTGCGGATATTGTATCGGAAGTATAGGGGAAGCGCATGCTTCCCGTCATGTGATGGAAGTGAGTCGAGCGTGAACACCTTACAACCGTCCTCAAGCTCTGGAGGCCTCGAGTGCCCTTATGAGCTGCAGTACGACTCTGGAGAGCCTGGTCTTGTCTGGGCGGCACAGCCGTTTTCTGTGGATCCCGTTGGAGGAAGTTGGAAGTTGAGGCAAGCATTTCTTCCTGCCCGAAAGGCTCAACTCACAGGGATTCCATCGTGTCTCTGTGAATTTCTGTGCTAAGGATGGTCGCTGGGTGAAGGCCTGCGAAATCTCTGGTACCGTCTCCGGGAAGGCCAGGGCCAGGTCGAGCTAAGATCTGGACAACACGACCATAGCACTGCCAAGTCACTCCTGGTACCCAGGACTAAGAGACTGTGAGACCATCCCCCGACCTTTTCCTCCTTTCATATACTTTCATATGACATCTCGTGACCTCAAACTCTGCTACTCCTTGCCTCTCTCGGTACAGAGAGGACATGGGACAACAGGGGTAACAACAGCAGCAGCCTTGCAACTCACCTGGCAGGAAACGTGTTCATCTGGGTTTCCGGCTGCCCCTCTGGATAAGCTGCGGATCTGGAAGTCGTGGCGGGCTCGATGTCCTGTTGCTCTCCTGCACTGGGCTCGGGCTGGGCTAGGGGAGGTGATATATGCCCATGACCATGACCGACCTGTCTGGCGCAGAGACTGCGAACATGTTGCCTTTCCCCCTAACAAACACGCCACAAATCGCATCACCGTGCTTTCATGATTCACACTCCGCTTCTTTCCAACTTTTTTTTTCAATTTTGTATGTGGGAGAAGATGGTTGAACCAAGGGTTTCTAAACTTTGGAAACTTTTCCCTACCCCAGGACTCGTGGTTTCGCCTCACGGGCGTCCGCGTGACGGGAGCTCAATGCCAGGCAGTGGGACCTAGTAGATCTGTGTGTACAAGGGATCCGCCTCTTCTGAAAACGGGGTCCCCCTTCATGGGCTGCTTGCCATGCTTGCCCCACTTTGGATCCCAGGGGGGGCCACTGCAGCACCCTAATTCCCCCTGAGGCTTGGGCTCGGTGCTCGCAGCCGTGGATCGCGAAGGCGGCCTGGACGGCTTCGGGGAGCGGCAACCGGGATGGTGGGTGGCGTGGCGACACCCGGCCTGTTTTAGACAAAGACTTGAAAGCAGGCCTTTTGTGCTTACCTTGCCATGTTCCCTTATTCCCTCTTTGCCTCTTGCTTCGGTTTCCAAAATGCTTGGGGTCCGGGTGAGTTTGCACCTACTAAGTGCAACTTGCTAAGTGTAACTTACAGTCATTTAGTGCAAAACAGCTGAAGTTAGAGCCTGCTGCACAACGCGAACTTCAGAAGTAGAAGCCAGGTCTCCTTCAATTGGTGTGTTTGCTTGAGCTTGTGCAAGAAAGGACATCAATCGTGCCATCAACGACCAGTGCGCAGGGCTCCGGACATGCTAAGTGTTTGCTAAGCCTCGATCTCGACGCATCAACCTCGAAGCGATACTCCGACCCCGACCGGGGAGGTACTACTACGTCCGCTACCGCACTGGAGCTGACAAGAAGTTTGTCATCACCCTCACGCTGCGAGAGGCCCGAAGCACTTTTTTTTGCTTGCACCCGCTGCTGTTGTCGCTGGAGCCACGCAGGAGGGTGAGGAAGTCTTTGCTGCAGCTGCCAGGCTACCACGGTGGCCGCCGTCGGCATCACGGTGGGCAACAGTCCAGTGACTCGCCTTCGCATCTCGAGATTTCACGAGCGCAGAATCTTTGTACCGAAGCTCTTCAAATCTATGCGTGTCAGATGTGCCAGCTGTGCCAGCTGTGTCATGTCCCTGATGCAGATGCCCAGGACTGCAGAGGGGAGGGCTACAGTGGCCTTCGCATCGACGTGCAAGCATCTGGTCGCCTGGCCAGTATCGACAGCAAACGTTGCGAAATGTTTGCTGAACTTGTGATGACATGTGATGACTGTTGATGGCTCGATATGTTTGTAACGCTATGCATCGAAGAGCAATAAATTCAATTGTTTCAGTGGTTTTCGTCGTTTATGCACCCTGGATTCTCAGAAGATGTCGCTGGGTTTGGATCGTCGTATCCCATGTGCCTAGAAATGGTCGTCAAAGGGGTTCAAAAGTGTCAGGCATCGTAGGTTGGAAAGGTAGTGCGCGGAGTGCTAGGCACCGTAGGCCGACCAGCAAAGCTGCGGCAGGATGGAGGGGTGGAGTGAGAGAGTGGAGAGAGAAATCGTGTGGACTTGCAGTGAGGACCGATCCTAGGTACGTAGGGTTGCTACATTTCTTTTAGGCAGCGGTTGTGCGAGCCTGGGGGCACGAGTCCACACCCCGGCAAATTAGTTTCACGAGAAGACGGATCATGGTTTTGTGCCGCACCTTGCCCAGGAACGAACCTCCCCGAAAGAAAGAGAGAAATGATGCAGGAAGAGAGAGAGTTTGCGAGGGCGCATGTCTTGATGACGATGACCTGATGCTGATGATATCCTGCTCACTATGGACATTCGATGTCCCGCTGTCACACCATCCGTTGTTCATTTTTGCCACTTCTGGCTCTTGGCCTGTAACTGTTTTGTTGATGGATTTATGTTTTTGGCATTCTCCTCTCGTTTCGGCCTGGATAATTCAAATCATTAAGCTGTTTTCAGAAATTTGCTTCCTTTAATCATTGAATTAGTTCAGTTCTTTTTGTTTTTTTGTAACTAGTCTGCTTAAATCAAATAGTTTGATTAGTTCAATTGGTTTAATGCGGTTAGTTGGTTGAATTTGTTGAGTTGGTTTAGTTAGTTGAACTCGTCCAATGAATTCAAGTAGTGTAATTCGTTGCTTGTACTTGTACGAGCCTATGTGTCCTTGAACTCGTGCCATTTTGGCTCTAGCGCCAAAATTTTCAGGGCCAAAATTTCTGTGACTCTCAACTGCTGGGGTAAGAATGGCCGGCTTCGACTTCGACGAACTATCCCGGGCCGAGCAGGCGGTGGAACACTCAGTGCCCGTGGTGAAGTCCGGGAGCCAGGCTCCACAGGAGGTGCAGACCCCTCATCCAGTAGCCAAGAAGTCTGGTTCGCCAGGCGTGTCAGGAGCCACAGGTGTGGCAATTCCTGGAGCCACACCTACTGTGGGCCCGCCACCAGCTTCAGAGAGTCAACTTCGTGCGGCGCGAAGTGGTCTGCAGTCCATGCTTCAGCAGAGCGACGCAGCGGTGAGTCAGGCTTTGGCAGGCGCCAGTAGCCTGGATAGAGCCCGCTTGCGGCTGGTCCTGGCTAAACTCCAGATTGCTGAGCTGTCCGGGCAATTAGGCTACTCCATGCAGCTTCAGCCGCATGTGGCTTCGAAGGCGCCTCCAGTGAAGCCCGTGACATCCTCAGGGGCTACGTCCGTTACGTCCGCTGCACCAACTGCTCCTTCGGGCGTGCCAGGCGGACCAGTTAGCAAGGCGTTGGTGGCCGCGTCTAAAGCCCGGACGGTGGCCAGTCAGGGCACAGTCGGTGACACCGGCAGCTCAGGGACTCAGCCGCCGCAAGGCACCCAGAGTGCCTCTCCTGGTCAGGCCGTACCAACTTCTGCTGGTCAGGCCATTCAGGCTTCTCAGGGACCCGCCAAGGCGCAGGGGCCCCAGTCCAAGGCCCCCCCTCCTCCTTTAGTTTCTCAGAACACGCAGACCGCCTCACAGAGCAGCCAGTTGGCAGTGCCGGCTGCCTCAGCGCGGGCCTCTCAGCCCCCCTTTGTGGACCCGTATGGCATGGGGCCGCACAGGCCTGGCAGGACCTGTCCACTTACAAGTGTGCCAGGTTTCGCCAACTTGGCACAGCGCCATGGGCTTAATGCTCCAGGACAGCCGCCCAGTCAGGTAGGCTTTGGTTGTGCCAATTGTGCTTTGACCGGGCTTCGGCTTCAGGCCTCTCGTTTGCCGCTGCCTTGTGGCTCGAGCCGTTTGCTCGCGCAGCCCGTTTTCCAGGCTTGGCTGTCTTGCCGCCTTTCCCGCCCACGCTTGTGCGTGTTGGCTGGCCAGGTCCATCTGCTGGAGACCGAACCCACAGGCGCTGTGCGGGCTGCTTTTGTTCTTCGCGGTCGGGCTTGTGCCTGCCGCAGGCCGCGTCTGCGCTGGCCGTGCCCTGTTGTCTTCAGGCACGTCTGACCCTTGTGGGTTCTTGTTTTCGTTTTTGTTTTTGTTTTTTCTCTTGTTTCGGCTTGTGCCCTGTCGCAGGATGTCCCTGGCCGACAGCGAACCAACCTTTGCAGCCCGAGCTCTTCAATACGGTCTGCCTCAGTCATGCATAGACGTCCTTCAGGCGTCCAGGTTGGCGACATTCAGTGCACTTCTTTTTCATGTCGCCTCGGCCCCCAACAAAGTTGAGCAAGACAAAGTTGAGAAGGTCATTCAGTCCTTTCCAGTTGCCGACAGGACGGACAGTACGAAGTCTGCAGTCAACAGGTTGTTATTCGAAGCAGGAACGTTGGTTGTTGCAGAGCTTAAGAGCATGGTCGAGACGCCTGAAGACGCTCCGCGAAAGTTGAGCCCGGAAGAAAGGGCAAGCAGGCTGGACTCAGTCAGGACCAGGCTCGGTAGCTGGCCCGTTGGGGGGCAATTCGAACCAAGCCACGCTCTCGTTGATTCATGTGCTGCCATGATCAGAGACCAGGCAATCAGGTATATTCCGCCAAGCAGGTGTAGCAGTCGTGACGCTGAAGTCACCAGTGTGCGCAGGGATGACTCCCTGATCAGGCTGGAGAACAATGCCCTTAAGGTTGGGGGCAAAACTCCCACTGTGCGCGTGGACCTTACCAGTGACCTCAGGGTCTACCAGGCTGTCTGTCGCAGAGGAGTGGCGCTCGAGGTCGCGGGTGTGTGCAAGTATGAGGCGCACGAGACAAGTATGCGTACATTGTTTGATCACATCCATCGTCACCCCCCAGCAGGGTATGTGTCGCCCGGCCTAGATCAGTTTTTGCTAGCCGACAGGGAGCTCTGGCGCTTAGTAAGCGAGCAGGTCCAGCACAAGTTTGCCCAGACAGGCGGCAGCTCTCAGGTTGACGCAGCCCTGCAGTCTGCATGCACGGCTCCCTCTGTTGTTTTTCACTTGTTCCCCCTCCCCAAGCCCCCCCCCCCGCCCAAGCGAACGTGGGATCAGATGCAGGACAAAGGAGGGGGCAAGGGTCCCAAAGGGGGAAGAAAAGGGGGGCGCGGTTTTGGGGGTAAGGGGCCAGAGAAGAAAGGTGCCCGCTCAGCCAGCAATGTGCCAGCCGCCCTCAAGGGGCTCAGTGGCACTCGGGAGGGCATCAGGCTGTGCTTTAATTTCAACCTGGCCCACGGCTGCACTTTGGAATGCAAGGACGTCAACAACAATCCAACCTGCGCTAGGGGTGCCCACTTGTGCATGAAGTGTGGGGGCAAGCACAGCGCTGCAGTCTGCGAGAATTGACTAGGGCGACCAGGGTCCCCAGGTCCAGTGCTGGACAGCGCCGGGCCATCCAAGAGTAACTCAGGTGCTGTCACGCTGCCCCAAGGGCCTGTGCCTCTGTGCGCTCGCCAAGCCTCGTGTCGGGGACTCCCGGCGATTGAGGACCGCAAAGACGTCTCAGCTCCCGTGCAGAATTGTTTGCAAGCAAATCAGGAACCAGGTCCGCAGTTTTCAGCGCCAGGACATTCGTCTTGTGCTCGCCTAGCAGTCCCAGAGAAACAGGCAAAGTTGAGACCGTCAGTAACTAAGCCTTTTTCAGGCGTAGCCAGTAATCACGAAAAGGAGGTTTTGGAGCCACCGGCCGCTTTTTTGAGCCCTGCTTCAGCAACAGTGAGCCATTCCACCACGTGCCATGAGCCCTCCCAGGTTGCTAGTCCGTCCCGGCGATCCGTGGACTCACTCGTGTGCCTGGAGGTTTTTGCAGGGACAGCCAGGCTCAGTTCTGCCTTGGCAGCTGTAGGTTTTCAGGCTTTGGCAGTGGACAGTAAGGTCGGCGGCGAGATGCGAGTCCTGCAAGTCAATTTGTTGCAAGAGTCTGGGCGTCAGTTGGTCCTGGACATGATTAGGTCTGGGAAAATTTGGTCAGTGCATTTGGCCCCCCCCTGCAGCACAAGCAGTCAGGCTAGGAGCATTCCTGCCAGGGGCAGGAAGGCGCCAGTGCCTCTCAGGTCTTTCACTCACCCCGATGGGTTGCCAGGTTTGAACATGAGGGACAAAGTCCGAATCAGCCATGCAAATATATTATATGAGTTTTGCGCCGACGCAATTCTAGCAGCTGCAGCAGCAGGCTGCATGTGGAGCATAGAAAACCCTGCAGGTAGCCTCTTCTGGACTACATCCCCAATGAAGCGTGTAGCAAATCAGTTGTCTGAGCAGCTTTGTTTTGTCCAGTTCCATCACTGCTGTTTCGGAGGTGACAGGTGCAAACTCACTGCACTATGGACGAATGTTCGAGATTTGTCCGTCCTCGGCATGTTGTGCGACCCCAGCTTGGGACACAAGCACAAAGCCTGGGGTCGTTTGGACAACGGCTCTTGGGCGACGTCAGCAGAGACTGCGTATCCCCGCAAGCTGTGTAGGCAATGGGCCGCGGCCTTGTTAGGGGTTGCCATCTCCCAGGGTTATAGCGCGTCTGACGCCTCAGGTGCCAGGGCTAACCCAGTGGCTTCAACTAGGGCCCGCCTACGCGCCGCTTTAGGCTTCTTACCCAAGTCCTCCCTGCTGCCGCCGCAGGTCAATCCTCTCCAAAAGTCCGAATGGGTGCAGTTGCCCCCAGAGCTCGACATGGCAGCGTGCGTGCCGGGTGCCTCTGCAGAGCGCCTCACGGGGGTCAAAAATAGTCAGGTTGTGTCCATTCGGAGGCAGGGTGGCAGTTGGTGGGCTAGCGTGGCAGAGCCGGTGCAACCACAGGAGTTTCTTCGCCGGGCTGCAAACTCTGTGCACCCGGCGGAATGCCGGCCCCCACTGCCAGAGCCGCTTGAGTCGGCCGTGTATCGTGTGCGCACTAGCCTGACTCAGGTGCACAGGGACAGAGTCCAGATGCTGAATTCCATGTGCCAAAGGGCAAAAGAATTGGCTAAGGAAGAGAATGAGGATCATGCCAGGATGGACAGCTCGGTCAGAGGCATCTTACAGGGCAAGAGACTTCGGCTCCTGGAAGAGCTCTTACAGTCCATTGATTTCGAGGACAAGGCTTTGGTAGATGATCTGCGCAAGGGAATGCCGTTGACGGGCTGGCTTAGGGATAGTGGCCACATGCAGGCGCACGTAGTTCCCCCACTTTTGACCAAGGACGAGCTCCTTAAACAGGCCCCTGCCCGCAACAGAGAAATTTGGGACATGACTGGGCCCTCCGGTGACTCGACACTGGATGAGGCCCTCTGGCGCAAGACCTGCGAAGACGTGGACAACGGGTGGGCTTTCTTGTTGCCGCCATCTGATGCCCCCCCTGCAGAAGGGGCCCTCAGCAGGCGTTTCGCAGTCACCCAGGGTGACCGCGTCAGGGCCATTGACGATTTTAGTGTCTCCAGGATCAACGACACAGTCGGAAGTCAGGACAAAATCACAGTCATGACTACCGGTGACACAGTTGCCTTGGTGCAGGCGTTTCTTAGGTCTCCGCAGGTGCCCGCCAGAGCTCGCAAACTGCTGGGCAGATGCTTTGACTTAAAGTCAGCGTATCGTCAGCTAGCAGTCTCGCCGCAGGACATGGATGTAGCGCGTGTTGCAGTATGGAACCCAGTTGCCAAAAGGGTTGAGGTCCTGCAGCTCAGGGCACTCCCGTTTGGAGCGTCCGCCAGTGTCTGGGGGTTCATAAGATTGGCTCTCGCCTTATGGGCTGCAGGAACCCAGTTGCTGTGCATTCCGTGGACCACTTTCTACGATGACTACTCAGTAGTCACCCTGGAAGAGGATGTCAGAAGTCTGCAAGCCTCAGTCTTCTTGTTTTTCCAGTTGCTAGGGTGGAAAGTAGCCACCGACGGGGGCAAGGCGTCTCCCTTCTGCCAGGTCTTTCAGTCCCTGGGTGTGGTTTTTGACTTGACAAAGGCACCCCAAAGAACTGTACTTGTCTCCAACACAGAATCTAGGCGCATTGAGGTGCGTCGCTGGTGTAAGGAAACGCTAGACAGGGGAACTCTGGCCCCAGCCGAGTGCCTTGCCTTTGCCTCCAGGGTTCGTTGGCTAGAGGCGCAGACGCATGGTCGGCTTGGCATGGTCGCGTTAAGGGTCCTCCTCAACCATGCCAGCCCAGCAAAGGACTCACGCAGAGTCGCTATGTCAAGCAGGTTACGTTGGGCAGTATCTTGGATCTTGCACAGTGTGCCCTCAGCACCGCCCAGGGCCTTTGAGCTTCAGGCACGCAAGAAGTTTTTGGTGTTCACCGACGGAGCAGTCGAGGATGGCATTGCTTCCGTAGGGGGAGTGCTCTGCAGCGCTCGTGCGCTGCCCATTGCTTACTTCGGTGCTAAGGTTCCACAGTCGGTCACCGAGGCTTGGCGTGCCTGTGGTACGGAGCACCCAGTGTTTCAAGCAGAATTGCTTGCCGTGCTGCTTGCAGCTCACTTGTGGGGAGGGGCCCTCGCAGGGAATCTGTGCACGTGCTTCGTGGACAACGAGGCCGTCAAGCACTCTCTGATTCGAGGATCCGCCTTCCCAGATTCCAACCAGCTGCTACTGGAGAATTTCCTTTCCCAGGAATCGTCTCTAGGGACACACTTCTGGTTCTGCAGGGTACCCAGCCCGTGCAACCCGGCAGATGCGCCGAGCAGGGGGTTGTTCCCGCAGTGGCTGGCTTGTGCCAAGCGTGAAGAAGTCCATGGGGATTTTGTGGAAGCTTTGGCCCTCAGCCAGCTGGGCTTCTAGGAACGTGGGGCATAAGGGCCCAGCGGCCTCGGGCCATTTGTGCTTTTGCTCTGACAGTCCTGCAGGCGCCTCAGGTCCAATTGTGGAACCAGGGCATCGGGAGCTTGCAACATGGACAGGAGCCCAGGCTCCCAGTTCCCGATGCAGTACAGGTGCAGGAGCTTTCCAAAGTCGGATTGCCGGCTAGTGCCGTGCAGCTTTGCCCCACGGCGTGAAAAGTGCTTCTGCGCCGCTTCTCTTCAGTAAGAGTTCGTGACACATGTTGCTTGTACTTGTACGAGCCTATGTGTTGAACTCGTGCCATTTTGGCTCTAGCGCCAAAATTTTCAGCCCACCCTCCACTCCCTAATGAAGCGACTTGAGGTCGATCCGTTGTTGGACCTGACAGGTTCCTTTGGACCTATCAGGTCAGGTAGGGCCCAGTTGCGTCAGCCATGGGAAGAAGGAACTTTTGCTTTTTTGTCTCAGAGCCCAAGCATTTTGAGAGAAGTGCAGGAGGATCTGTTCGAGCTGCCTGCGCATGTGCCGCGGCCACTGGTCGCAGTAAATGCTCAGGCAGTCGCAGTGCCGGCCCCTTTCAGGGCGCCGCCGTTAAGGTGTGCTCACACAGGATGGCAGGCTTCCAGGGCGCGTGAAGAGCGCCAAGTGGCACTTAGCAAGTGGAGCGCTTTGATTAGGCAGGCGCCCCATTTCTTCAGTATTCAGGTGCTCCACTTTGTCATGAACCAAGACAATAGGGTCGAGTTGGGCAACTTGGAGGTGATATTCTGTCGCAAGGCCACCAACACGTTGCTCAGCAGAGCCGGCGCACTGAAGAAACTGGTGGTTTGGGGGGTCTTTCGTTTTCCCATGGAAGCCTTGTCTGAGCCGCTGCTTTTTCTCTTTATGCAGGAGCTTAAAGACAAGGGCGCTTCAGCCAGTGCGGGTCATTCAGTCTTGCAGGCGCTGGCCTTTTGTCATGGGCTCCTTGGCTTAGCAGTTGCTCTTGACAGTCTTCGCAGCCCAAGAGTGACGGGCATGGCTCACCTGCAGTTGCAAAACAAAAGGCCTCCTAAGCAGGCGCAACCGCTGACAGTGCAGGAGGTGCGTTGGCTAGAGCAGGCGGCCGCGCAGGACCCGCAGTCCTACGAGAGCCTTTTGGCAGGAGGATTGTGTTTCATGTTATTTGCCAGGGCGCGACACAGCGATGCGTGCAGAGCCAAAGATCTAGCTTTCGACTTCGGTGCTAGGACTTTCAAAACTGGTTACGTGGAATGCGCAGTTCTCAACCCCAAGCAATCTCGAGCAGCCAGTCAGGGCAACAGGCTGCTGCCTATGGCGGCACCGGTGCTAGGTCTTGAGGAGCGACCTTGGGCACTCAGTTGGACGTCGGCCAGACAGGCTTGGGGTTTGACCTGCGCCGGTGACCTAGCTGACGACTTCATTCTTCCGGCCATGTCAGCCAATGGCCGCCTCTTGCAGGCCCACTTGACGAGTGCTGAGGTCACGAGGTGGCTGCGCGCCATTCTCAGTCAGGACCCAAGGGCAAATCAGGATCACTTGCTCCAGCTCACGTCGCACAGCTTGAAGGTGACGCTTCTGAGCTGGACAGCAAAAGTTTTCGTTGGATGGGACAATCAGACATTGCTAGGTTACCATAGTCTTGGAGTGAACAAGAGTGCACTAAGCTACAGCAGAGACGCCCTCAGTGGTCCCCTGCGTGAGCTCGAAAAGGTGCTCACGTTGGTGCGTGCTGGCCAGTTCGATCCAGATGACACCAGGAGCGGCCGCTGGCATCCAGTCCCGCAGGCGAGCTCATCCTCAGCATCTGCAGCGTCGGCCGCTGGTGACGCCGCAGAGGCTCTGCAGCAAGCGCTCCAGGAATCCAGTGAGGGCAGTGACTCTGAGGGCTCAGTCTCCAGCAGTGGATCCGAAAACGGCCAACTGCAAGTAAACGAAGCCACGCATCTTCTCAGTCTCATT